AGAACTGAAACATCTATCCCTCTCAGCAAGGCAGACTGGGCATTTGGAACAATAGCCATTTCCATGCCTTAGAGCCATGTTCTCAAACATTGGTGTCAAGGAGCATCACCTGATGCACTTGTTAAAATGAATATTCCTGTGTCCTTTCTTCAGAGTCTGATTACGTGGGTTGAGGGTGGAGCCCCAGATCTTATAACCAGGCTCTCCCAGTATTCCCCATGCCAGGGGTGTGCAAACTTGACATTACACGCATTGTTTCCACCAGTCGTCACTGCCACCGTGTATACCACGGTTTTGCTCCTATAGGTGGACGGCTGGTCAAAGTGACTTCAAGTAAATAATTTTGCCAACATTTCTCTATTTGGAAAAAGTAAATGACTCTGTGCGGTATGGTTTAATCTCATAAATACTGTCACAATTTGATCAATGGCAATAACTTCTTCAGCTCTAGAGATCTTCCTAGGATCTTTGAAGATTTCATTTAGGCCGTTCTTTAAAAGGAGAAGATATTATCGTTAATCAAGTCTAATGAATAAGGGTGCCCGCGTACCAACTCCTACAAAAAAAGAGAAACACCGAAATCATACATGTGAATTTAGCATTTTGATGTGTTCTGTGTACCACCCAAACAATAGGGACAGTCTTAGAGATATTCTAGTCTAAAGCCTTTATTTTAGATGAAGAAACTAGAACCTAGAAAAAGTGAACTGTCTTGCCCAAGAACACACAGAAGAGCTAAAACTGTCTCCTTAATGAAGCTCCGTATCCCCTGGTCTGTCTTTATATTGTCAGGAATTCACAGGTGGCTGGGCAGGAGCAGGCGAGATCCCAGTTAAAATCACTGTCAGTGTCAGTTCCTGAGCACAGACTGCCTTAGAGTTGAATAGCTGCCCCCCCAAATATGCAGAGTCAAGAATAAATCATCTGAGGGCGCCTGGGTGGCTCAGTTGGTTGAGCGGCTGCCTTCGGCTCAGGTCATGATCCTGGAGTCCCGGGATCGAGTCCCGCATCGGGCTCCCTGCTCAGCGGGGAGTCTGCTTCTCGCTCTGACCCTCCTCCCTCTCGTGCTCTCTGTCTCTCATTCTCTCTGTCTCAAATAAATAAATAAAAAATAAAATCTTTAAAAAAAAAAAAAGAATAAATCATCTGAGATGAAACCCTTGCTCTAGATCATAAACCCTATGTGTGACCTGTAGGAATATAATAAGTATCCTTCTCACAGAGGAGACACTTAAGTCTGTATGTAGCTGTAAAGTTTGAGAAATTCAAGTAAAAAATAATTTCTGGAGGAAAGGGGAGTGTACTGACCTCTTGTGCTCATTGACCAGATGACGTGGCCAAGGTTACACACAATAAACTCAAGATAGGTCTGCAGAGAACAGTGATGTCCTGACTCTGTGACGTATGGTTTAGCTCCAGCCACACTGTCTCCCAGCCGAATATTCCCTGTTACTGATTTATGGTCATAGGTACCGGGAGGCAGAACCAAAAGTCTAAGACTGTATGGCTAATTCAAAATTTATTAGAATTCAAGGCGAGAGTTAAAAGCAAAAATTCCTACTAGAAATCTGATCTAAGGTGTATATGTATATAATATGTACATATTATATATATAAATGTATATATAATTATCAACATGTCTTAGTTTGTGCCAATCACATGGGAAATCTGATTTGTACAGATTTGTTTAATGGGCAAGTTCTGCATATGATTACAACCCCTCTGAGACCACAGCGGTCATTACTGCTTGGATTTTACTTTGGGGAATGGCATATAAGTGGCTTTTGCCTTGTTCAACCGTAAGCAGGTTATGGGCTTAGTGTTCAGGGTAAGGCTTGGCAGCGCCTGACATATGGTGCGTGACATGTTGCTCTTTGCACGAAGCAGCAAAGCAGTGATAGAAGGTAATTTGGGGAGATTCCATCATACTTTATCTGAAAAACAGAGTTGTCTCTGATGGAGCCAAGGTTAATGGTTTGGATTTGCATGTGTCTCTATAATTTTGCGTAGCTTGTGAATTAAAACAGACAAAAGGCCTGATGTAGAACCCAGGTAAATAAAACCTACCAGACTCCAGAAGGCCCCAAATAGGTTTCATTTATGTGACAAGCTAGTTACTTTGGCCACTAATTTTGTAGGGAAGCCAGAGAAAGGCATTTGAAAACAGGAGCCTGTTATGACAAGAATTCCTTCAATATTCACAACGGGCTATGGGGAAAATGAGGCAGGGAGACACCCCTGCAGACCCAGGTGTGCCCTGCGTTTCAGGCAAAAGGACCGGTCTGGGTGTTCAGGGTCCCCGGGCCCAGGAATTTTTGATGTTATGCCTCATTCCCTTCTGGCACAGTGGCAGAAACCTCCAGAAAGTCGAGGGGTTGAGCGGAGACTGGGCACCCAGGAAGTCCAGTGTGCCCTGTAGCACCTGCCAGGGGAGGTAAGCAGGCGTGGCCCAGCGCCAGGCCGCCTGCCCCTGCAAGCATGGGCAGGGGACATCCCCGTCCCGACGGCCCAGCCTAACCCGGCCATCTGTTCACCACCAGCAGGTGCCGGCTGCCATGTCAGCGCAGAACAGCATCTCAGGTGTTCCTCAGCAGCAGCTGAGCTGTGAGCTGCCTTCTCCCGCCTTCCACTCTTCTCCTTTACTTTCCTTGCTCAACTGCCTTGAAAAAGAAAAGCAGGACGACTTCTTTTTTTTTTGGAGGCTGCTCCTGCGGCTTCTGATAACTCTTCATAACGAAGTGCAAGGGACCATTAAGATTGGTCTCGCTTGGGCTTTGACTCACCAGCCTCCAAAACAGTCCTCACTGGGCTGCAGCGTGTGATCTGAACACACAGAGCCGCGCACGTCCCGGCGGGTGGCTGAGCAGACTGCCGACCCCTTGTGCAGCCTTTGCTCCGAGGCAGGAAAGAGCAGCCTGCAAGAACCTGTGTTGGAGCTTCCGAGTGGGAGGAACAGGGCAGTCTGAACCGAGGAAGGGGAACTTTCATCTTCTGGGGGCTGCAGTGTGGTGCGGACGGAGAATGGGCTCCACAAGCGAATCAGTGTGGCTTAAAATCACCCTTCTTCTACCGACCTGTCCCAGAGGTGCTCCCAAATCATAGAAGGGGAACAGCAGCCTCTTTAAAGCTGAGAAGGGGGTTGAATGGGAACGCACGTATACTATGTGTAGGATGGTGCCTGGTACAGAGGAAGCAGCGTTTGCCTTAGTTTAATTATAGAACAGTAAGTAAAACCTGCTTTTCCATTGCAAAGGTCAGGATTAATGAGATGGGCCCTCCATGTTGCCTGACTTCCTTTCAAAAAACGGGGGGTGGGGGGTGGATACTGCTTCTGCAGTAACCTCTGAGCAGCCTAAATAACTTACTTACCAGAGTAAAGCACAAAAATCTACAAGCTGATAGAAGCTCACATGCCTTATGTATCATCCCCATTGGGGATTTACCGAAGGTCAGTGGTGGCAACAGAATAGCAACAGAGGGGAGAAAAGTAGTCCCGATGGCCCACAAGCCCGTGCGTGCTCAGAGCATCCCGAGAACCTCCAGAGGACCAGAGCAGATGGCACAACGATACCTTGCTGTAATATCATCCCTGCCATTCCTGGCTCTGCAAATGTGGGTTCGATTTGACAGTTATTCACATCTTCCATAAACCTTCTGTGCAAGGGATTCTGCCAAGGTAGCTGAGAGGACTTTGACATTATTAACGAGACAATTATATAGAAAAGAAACGGAATATCTTGCAAGCTCTATCTACGTGCTTAATAAAGGGAGCCATATCAGATCCTGCCTCAACTTTTAGTAAACTGATCTAGCCTGCTTTACATTGTCTTTGCAAAGCAACAAAAAAGAGCTACTCTTACTTTGTACCAAGAAAGATAAACAGTTCACATATAGTATTTCGGGTTAACAGCCCCCTGAAGTGGGTGTCACTATCCCCATTTCACAGATTAAAAAATTGGAGGCTCGGAGAAATTAAGTAATCTGCCCGGGATCACACATTCCATTGTGAAGGCAGGACTTGAAACCTTGTGGCTCAAACATGCTCCAAATCCCTATGCTCTCCTCATCAAGAAACTTCTTATCCTACTCCTTGCATGGGCCATGATTTTCCTACCTTCAGAAAAAGATGTACTCGGGATTATTGGTGAACAAAGCTTTGAGGATGGCCATTGGTATGCATGGCATAGTGAAAGGTAAGATGGCACAGTGATAAAGCATTTGTAGTGAAGGCAGGAGACCCAAGCGCCAGCCCTAAAATGGCTTCTTCCTTGTTGCGTGATGTTGCACCCATTACTTATTGTCCCAAGGCCAATGTCATCACCTACAAAGTGCCCTCGCCTTATAGAATTGTCACAATCCATGCAATAATATAGGTGAGTCAGCTTTCCTATCCCTAAGGCTCTAGGCAAACGCCAGCTATTACTATGGTTCAATTAGCTTCAGTTCCACCGCTGATTTGCTCTTGAATTTTTGGAAAGATCTCCTGATGCCTCAACCTTTCTCATCCGTGAACTAGAGCTGATGATACAGAACCTTTTAGTAATACCCTCCAGCAGCCATTCACAAACTTTGGCGACCTACCATCTTTTGGGAGGTTGTTAAAACTGGATTCCTGGGCCCTGGTGATCCTGCTCCATCGCAGCTGGATGGAGACTTGTGCTGTTCACTCCTATGATTCTGATGTCGATGGGCCATGATCACTCTGAAAAATAGTGCCCTGCAAGAGCAATATGACAAAGAACTGTGGTACTTGTGGGTGAAGAACTTGACCAAGATCATCTGGTCAGTAACACAGCCAACACCAAACCTTTGATTTCTGAGGGCTCGACCCTGTCATCCTGACCACAGGACCGGGACTTCAGAGAACAGCAAAACCCTCTCCTGGCCACTGGGTTTCCACGGGGGGATTGGATCCTATAGGACGTGGCTGAACCTTCCAGCACACCACGGGCCTCTTTAAAGTACCGAGTGTCACCGCCTTTTTTCTTTTTCCTCCACAGACACATTTGCAAGCAAAGTGGCAGCCACGCAGGACCAGTATGCAGATGCGTCCATAGGGAACGTCACCGGCAGCAACGCGGTGAACGTCTTCCTGGGGATCGGCGTAGCCTGGTCCATCGCGGCCATCTACCATGCAGCCAATGGGGAACAGTTCAAAGTGTCCCCTGGCACGCTAGCTTTCTCTGTCACTCTCTTCACCATTTTTGCTTTCATCAATGTGGGGGTGCTGCTGTATCGGAGGAGGCCGGAAATCGGAGGTGAGCTGGGTGGGCCCCGGACTGCCAAGCTCCTCACGTCCTGCCTCTTTGTGCTCCTATGGCTCTTGTACATTTTCTTCTCCTCCCTGGAGGCCTACTGCCACATAAAAGGCTTCTAAAGGAACAATCAGATATAGTAAATTTATATATATATATATACATATATATACATAAAATATTATGTATAATGAACAGAGGAAACTGACATTTGTCATGTTCACTTTACCTGCTGATGGAATCCAGCTTCAAGAGCAGACTGTGCTAGGGCCGAAGTGAGAAACCATCACCTCCCACTCCCAGGGGCATCGTCACATTGAACAAAGGCGTGGAGGCAGGGGCATCTGTGCAGCTCAGCCTAGAAGGACTGTGTTCCCTCCAGGTTCATAAATCGTTAAGTCTTTGATTTTGTTTTCTGTTTCTGCTTGGTTTGGGTGGGGGCTGGGAGGTGGCTGATGTTTGACTTTTGTGTTCTGTCGTTTTGTTGGGAGGGTCAAAGTTTTTGTTTCTCTTGTGGGAGGTGATGACCAATCTAAATGCAAATGGGTTTTTGGTAAAAATTTAAATCATTACAATTACTCTCTCCAAACACTTTGAAAAATTATTTTGGGTTAAGAAAGGATATGGGCATGGAAAAGCAGCATGTCTTCACTAGGTCACTAAATTTCATGCTTATCTCTGGAACATGAGCAGAGGTAAAGCTGCCTCTGAGAAGAAGCATGGGAGCTCGAATGCAGCCAGGAAGAGTGATGGTTCTAGATACAGTCGGATATTTAAAGATACGATGCCTGGCACTCTTGTTCAACAGGTACAGGAATAATGTGCCTCGATTCCCAAGAACATGCAAAATCATTTATTTCTTATCTCTTTAGCTCTGGACTGTGATTAGCAAGGCCCTTATTCTGGTTTTCCAGCCTGGCTAACCGCCCCCTGCCCAGGCCCCCATCCCAAACCTCCTCCTCCTGCCCACCACCTCTCATGCAAACAGGAATAACCCCACTCAAAAAGCATATCATCCTTTTCCATTTGCATCACTGTGTCCCAGTCCCATGTTTGCTGTTGCCTGGGATCATTCATCGGTTTTATTTTCAAAAGCATCCATGGCTTGCACAGTCCTGTTCCAGTCATGACTGAACATTGGCTCCTTCTTCATGTGCCTGTTTGGGAATGTTGTTGTGATACCTGTTACACAGTGCATGGATGAAAAACAAAATAAGCGTATCTGTATATAGTAGAGTATAGCGCATACTGTTCTCCCATTCAGCAATGTTGACTGGACATTGAAGACATAAGTGAGTTTGTGAGTTTCCTTTTCACCTGAGTTGTAACGTTCGTGTTGTTACTGAGTTTGATTTTACTAGGGATAAAAGGAGAAAATGGCTTATTGTTCATGGACCTGCACATTCATTTCTAAGAAGCAATAACAGTTCACTGGGAAGTTAAAGCTATTGAGAGGACAGCAGGCAAACTACCAAGTATCTTCATGGAAAATTAGCCATGCGGAATACACCAGAGGCCTCTAAACAGTCACCTGTTGATTCTGGAAGGCCAAGAAGAGAGGTATAGAGCAGTGGCTGGATTCTATGTGCCCGGGCTTTGAGAGCCTCCATATCCATGACACCCCTGCCCCTAAAGTATTTATTTCACTTCTGCTCTGTCTGGCACAGATGGTAGATAGTGGTTTGTTCATTTTATTTTTTTATGTAAAAGGCTATTTTGAGCCCTGTTTCTTTCATCACCCAGACTCCTCTGATTGTATCTGCAGTTCCTGAGTAGGAAAGGAGCCAGGGAGACCAATGGGCCTTTACAAGTGCATCTTCTGTACTTATGACTAAGGAATAAGCAATTAAATGAGATTAGTGCCTCCCAGGAGGATTGCGCTGGGAGGTTTTTCACCCTGGAAAAGGAATGGCTCTTTCTATCTCAAAATACCAAAGAGCAAGGATAAACCCAACATTCCAAAGTAGTGAATCCAATAATGAGGAAAAATGGAAAGACGTTGGTCCCGTCTCAGAGACTTCTCTATCTATAAAGAATCCCAGGCCAGAGACACCACTGGCCCTTTGTTTTGATTCAAAGATGCTTAAGAGATAAAAGCTGTTCAGAGTTATTTCCTCTTTTTCTACTCAGTAATCATGATCATTCATCATTTAATAAACATTTGGTGACTGAATAATTAAATGCTGGTTACTACTCAATATGCCAGGTACTGTGCTACTCTTGGGGCCTAAACCATGAACAAGATAGTCCAGATCCCTGCCCTCAGGGGGCTCACAGCTAATGTGATTGCTATTTCCATGGGTAAAAGTTAGCACAGCCATATGGAAACAGTTTTATCTTGCAAGGAAAAACACAATTACAAAACTCTTAACATAAACATGTTGAAAATGTACCAATATAGTTGTCCAAATATCTAAGATTTTAACCAAGAGGTAAAGCACAGGTTAGGGGAAGCATCCTATGTATCCCTGGCTGATCTTGCAGCTATATACACCTCCCCATTGTAAGCCAAGAAAGGCAATCATGTTGGTGATCCAGATGACTGAAAAGGTCCAATTAACCCCAGCTTTTATCTTTGTTGGTCAACAGTACTTTTCTACACCCCACAGTCTACAGTTCCTCATATCTCCAGGAGACTCACCCCAGCAGGCCATGGCCCAACACTGTGGGTCTAAGTCTTTTGGGGGCACATTCTAACCCATTTTTTTTTTTTTAAGATTTATTAAATGGAAAGCTAGCCTAGAAAACACCAAGTAAATATAGTCCAAGGATGTAGGTTATTTAAACATTAGATTTTGCACTCAATTTTAGCCATATTTGGAACGTCGATAATCCCATAGCAAATTTTCACAGAGGACTTTCAGAAATTCTTACCATTGAATTTTAATTTCAAAGCTTTTTGGTTTGTTTGCTTTTTCAAGTTTCATGTTATAGGGAAAATATGATTCTGATTGTTCAGAGTTGTTAATAATTGTAGTTGTGTAAAATTACTTCATTTTATTTTGTGTGTATTGTGCACAGCTTTAGGGGGGAAGTGCACGAATTGTGCCGTTCCTTATAAATGGTACACATTATTGACACAGACAAATAAAGTTTCTAATTGTTTCTGATTTAATCACTAGTGATATAGCATAATCTGTATGGAATGTTTCCTCTCATTGTCATTGACTTCATTTTTGTTTTCATGTTTTGAAGAAATAAAGACCAAAAAGGTATTATTGTGCAGTTGGTATCCTCATCCAAAAGAAAGAAAGAAATAGATCCCAGTATTCAGACTTGCAAATGTCAATCCTTTGGTCATACAAGGTTTCCTTTTTAATGTCCCAAGAGAGCAGAGTGTGAGAATATGTGTCTATCTGATGGTACAGAGATAAATGTTGGATGTTTCTCCATTTCACGAATTGTTTTTTTTTTTTTTTTACATCTTTTAGTACCACTTTATCCTTTCTGCATCCCAGAACATGAACCTATAAACAGTTACACATCAGACCACTTTTTAGCAGAATATTACAGCAAATAAATCAAGCCCAATGAAATTGATCAGAAGTAACTAGTTGTTTCCTAAGGGATACTTAGTATCATATACTATATTCCTCTTGATTCCCAAAAGAACTTCCTGTAATAATTTCTGATTAATTACCTGTTATTGACTTTATGTATCATATAGTCTATAGTATAGGAAGAGGCGACACCAGAAATCAGCATTTGTGAAAAAAAAAAAGTGACCTCTCGTTTGTGTACTTATTTGCAAGTCTACATTAATATCAGTGGATTCAGTTCTTATAATAGAATCCGTCCACTGTATACATGTAAATGATAATTTATTCATTTGATCATCTTTTTAAAATTTGCTTTGAATTCATTATGTCTATATATGATTATGTGTGGCACGCTTTCACATATGAAGGAAATAAGGTATAATTTAAATATTTTCTTGGATCAACAATTAATGTCTCCTAGTTACCAATCTTTGGTTTAACACAAAATGAGCAGCCAACATTTATTTCTTTAAATACCAAAGACAGTAATTCAATGACCAGAGTAGTCTTCACTGTTTAACTACCCTTCAACAAAATGTCATGGCTCAATGATTCGCAACCTCTTATAAGCTAATTTTAGTTCAAAGATAATGAATGATTCAAGCCCACCACCAGTGAAGATTTCAGAGAGCTTTGCTTTCTATACAGAATAAAAGCAACAAGTAAAACTGTTTTTCAAAGAAAAAAAAATATGTTCTTTTAAACCACCCTGCAGGTATTCTGATAGGTGGATCCCATTCACAATGACAATCCCTAACACAGCGTCTTTCCCCCAGTGGTCTCACAGGTAACAGAAGCACTTTGCCTTTTCCACACAGGGCTAGATTCCTTGTTGATTCCCCAGCCCAGGATCCCTGATCCTAATCTGTCAAAATAGAGATTGACTGGTTTGTTCTACACATATCTGCAATTAGAAAAACAATAAATTTCCTCCCGTAGATGATGAAGCCTTCCATTCTCTAACAGCGACAAAACATCACCTTCTCAAGAATGTAAATCAGCCCCTTTAAGACTTCTTTTAAAAAGTGTTTCCTGGTTCAAGAAGTAGAGTGTCTCTTTTGATTCTGGTTTTCTGTCTCTGATCTTGGGCAGTTGCATTTAGAGCAAGTATAGTTTCGTAACTTCAAGAACATTTGGCCGTTTCATGATTGACAATGCACAACCTTAAATCTCTCCCAAATTTACAAGTGGCACTCACAGCTTTTGTTATAATAATCAATTCCCTCGGCAAAAGCATTGTAGCTGTTGGTAAAATGTAGCATTTTAACTGATAAACGAGTGAATTATGTAGAAGAGCTTCACACAATCATATTTTTCTTACAGAGAAAGAAAGATGCTGCTATGAGTGCATTTATTAGCTTTCATTCAGATCTACCTACAGATTTTTGTTAATGGACTGTATTTCTGCTCTTCAATATTACATTTCAATCACTTCTAGCTATGTTGTCTTCCACCCAACACATTGTAAGTGTTCCGTGGTCCAGATGGTATTCCACCTACAAGGACATAGGGAGGGGAAACAATTGCACTAGTTAGGTATTTCATTGTTGGAGCTTAATCAGGCCATGGTTAATGACCTCCCAAGGCAGAGAATGTCCTATAGAAAGAACAACCACTGAGAGCTAGGTCTCCCAAGGGAGAGCACACTTCAGCTTTCCAGCCCACAAGAACTAGTGAGTAGCTTCCTATGACTTCTCCCCCTGCCTGCCAAGATGTCCAAAAAGATGTCCTCAGAGGCTCTACCAATTTTCACTTTCGCCAAAGTTCCTCTGATTTAATCTAAGGGACCTTTAAATAAACACTCATTCTATATATTACTATTTTGATGTATTTGTAGGAAAGAACATTACTTCATAACTTCAAAAGGCAACAGGACTTTGTAGGTCAAACCACAACTCATATCTTTACAAGGAAGACTCGCTTGCCCAGAATCACCCTATCTGTAATCAGTGAAGTACTTGACCTACTCACATTCTTTAGAATCATGCTGTCCTAACTTTATCAAAGATCTGGAGAGGGATTCACTTTGAAATAAGCAATCTTAGTCTTTCTTTTCCCTAATTCCAAACATTTGTATTTCTTCCATGCTTATTCCCATCCTATTCATCACCCTTAGTAATGCTCACTATTACCTCTCAGCAATGGAGAGAGGCTCATGATAAAGTGCTCTGGGCATGTTTTTCTGAAAGTGAACTTATCATAGGAAGAAACAAATATAATGGCATTCTACTTGGAAAACAATCATTTGGTATGTATCTCTACATGTTTGTTTAGGAGAGATTATACCCTATACCTACCCACTACAGCAGTATTGATTTTCCTTTCTGGATCACATTTTTCATGCTTCAGTGCCATCTACCTCGCCTTTTATCCTATTGATAGATGTAGGTATGGATCAGGATTAAGGAGCCCGCCCTAACACACTCACACTCACACTCAACTCCTATGAAAGTTTCTACAAAGAAGTATGTAAACATAGAAAAACATAATGTATAGCTTCCATGCCTCCAAAAAATATGAGTGGGTCAAATGTTTATCTGTGGGTATTATATTCCTGATATGCAAATGATAGTAAAATTTCACAATAAGCAAACACACCAAAAGAGAAATTAGCTAACTTCAATTTACCGACTCGATTTTGACAGTTAATGAACAGCCCAGCCCTCCCTAATTTGTTGACCGCAAAGACAGATCTACCTAGCCAAATCCAAGAATGTACTGGGGGTGACAGGGGACTTAATACACTAGCAGCCCTCTATATTGGAAATTGTTTATTCACCGAGGAGGATCTGGCCCAGAGACTTCCAAAGACCTCTCTCTACATTCCCAAGTTGAAATAACCCACTTTAAATTCACAGAACTTTTTATTAGACCCCTTGAACCCACATGGTAGGACAAGAGATCAATTCTCTAGGGAGAGCTTTCTTAAAAATGTGATTCTGTTTGTTATGGCCCTATTTTCTCATGTGAAGATCCTATTCTTTCCAATTGGAAGGAACAATTCTAATAACCAAATATAAAACCGCTTTTCAAAATGTTTCACTTAAAAAATTAACTTTATAAATACTTAAGATAAAAGTTATATGACCTAGCCAGTTCAGAGAAAAATAATTTTCTCTATACGTACATTTCTCTACCTTCTTACACTTATCTTAACATTAAACTTTGAAAAATGCTCCAAAGAAGAAATCTTGAAAGATTTTACATTCTAATAATGTTCGTGTAAGTGAATAATATGGCTAAAATAGTGTTTTAGGTGACAATTATCTATGTTTTGACAGAACACACTTAAAAATGAGAGAATTTAGCACAAATGTGTGAGGTAATATTTCATCACAGATTACTCTTGTCTAAAATATTTGAATATCATTAACCCTAAGGAAGATAAATTTCCAGTTTCCAAAAACAGTAGTACAATTTCAGCTTGTGATCTGTTTTTATATGAAAATCAAAGCTGGGCATACATAACTTTTGACTTTGGCAAACCCCCCCCAAAAAAGTATGCTTTTGGCCCTTTTCCATATTATTGAGTCATTTTGTGGAATACACTGGATCTATACAGGTGTCTCATAAAAATGCCTTCAATGATTTCCCTTTTTTTTTTTAGGCCAAGAAGTTTCTAAATTTTAGAACTTGACAATTTAATTTATAAAAGGCTGACTCCATTTTGATGTTATTAACATTTCAGAATTTTAATATTTTAAATAATCATCAGATGGGATATTGAGCTTGAGTCTAACCCAAATAAACAATAAAGCCCAAAAAAGACCTACCAGTAGTTAAAAGGCTTCTTAAACACTGGCCTTTTCATGCAAAGCAAATAGAAGGGCTGTTTTGACCTCTTTTTTTCTACCAGAGGTTACCATTTTAATGAGTATAAAAACAAAAAGTATTTGAAATGGTAGTTTGAAGATTTTTTTAATAAGAATTAGACACAGTTTCTGCATTAAATCTCCTCTATCCCATCTTTTCCTAGGGCACAGAGATACATACATAAATACAAAAACAGACAATGTATGTCAAATAACTTGAACTACATTTTTGGATGTCTAAGATTACCCTAAAAGGTCATGTCAGGTTAAGTATTCCTTTTATCACATGTCTTTTATAAATGAAAAAAGGGAGAGAAATACAGAAGGAAACACATTCCTGATTTTCTTTTTTGTGAAAGATGCAAATTCAAAGTTGTTTGAAAACTGCCTAGAATATTAATTATATGGATCCTTCTAAAAACATAAGTAGATCTTTCAAAGAAAAAAAAATCATTTTTCTTCCCTTCATTTAGCAAGCATTTCTGATAGAAAGTCTTTAGGATCAATTAGGGCACCCCCCTGACTTTTCCAATTACCCTCTGTTATTTGGAGGGTGTTGAAAACCGCTCTTGAAAAAAATTATGCTCGTCTAGGTCAAATCCTGGGGGACTAAAAGGCTGAGATTTTGTATTTTCCCTGGCAACATAGCACTGAGCAGGCAGGCTCCCATACATCACTTGACATTTTCTAGAAATGTGTTTTGGCACAACAGGAACAAAGGAATGAGACTCCTACCCACTTCTGCCATAAAATCCTAATCATTTACCACCACAGATTCTCCACTAGCTATAATTTACCTTAGATATTTTCACTGAAGCAACCCTCAACTTTCATATACACTGGTTGTGTGGTGCCTAGCATTTTCCCTCCAAGATCTTATTAATAGGCAAACTAACCCTTTCAACTAAGGAGTAATGAAATTTCTCCAAGGGGTCCAGTCAGGGTGAGGAGTGAGTAGAGAGAGGGGTAGTAATATTGATGTCAGGTCATTGGAGCCTATTTAACCAACTGCTTCATTACATATTGGACCTCGTTTGGGACTCTGACTATTAGAAATACTGGAAGGACTTTATCTTATTGCTATTTCAACAAAATTTTTGTGGCATTGGATCTAAGTAAAGGATAACATCATGCAAAAACTGAAAGTCCTTTATTAGCTCTGTTATTGTTACATTTTCTAAGAAAATATTATCTTTGAAGTTGTAACCTAAAGTTCTTAAGAACAACAAGGATTGTGCTGCCATTAGTAATCCCTTCGGAAATTTGACACTTCAAGTCTTCTTTGAGACAGATGATACTGTGGTAATGTATGCATGTGGCTTAAAATATTCTTGATAGTCTCAGGTTGTCCTCACAGATCTGCATAGATTTACTTTTTAAAAAATGAGTCTCTTTCTCATCAAAATGGATTGGGAAGTTCTCCAACCACTGGTTTCATTTTGTTGAAAAAAAGAGTCTAGCACCCAAAGAAGCTGTGAACAGTAGGGTTGCATCCACAACCCTTCTTCTGTGCCCCTTTGCATATTCCTGACTCTTAATCCCTGTGGCACAGCTTTCAGAAACAACTGTAGGTGATGGGAAAGCCAAAAGAAAAGGGTTGTGCTCACTTTCAAAATGGACTAAATCTGCTTATCACCTTGAAACTTTTACTTAAATTTTGAAACTTTAAACACCAAGAGGGATGCTTTTAAATGCCAATTCTGAAGTCAAGATCACATTTTTTGCAAAGCCATAAGGAAAATGTATGTTAATTATTGAGACATGGGATTTAGTAACATCAGTGCCCAACCCTTGCTCTCCCTGCATCCCATTCATACAGTATTTAGAGGCAAACAAGCAGTTGGGAAGGGGAGAGAAATCACTATCAATGTCCTAAGTCATATCACCATTCAGTTACTAGATGGGGTCAGGAACTAGACAAAATAGATGGGACCAATACTAGTTCTCGAGTCTGACCACCACCCTTGCTCACCCCCATTATGGATATGGTCTGTGAACATTAGAACAATGCCAGAGTATTCTTTTCACTTCATGTGAATATTACCTACAGTGATTCCTCTCTGCTCTGAGCCAGGCTGTTTTGTTTGATGCAAATCTTTCCAGAGTCATACAGCTCAATCAGATACTTGTTGCCTGGCTGGAGAATGAACTGGTCTTTTCAAACTGGTTGCCATGGACCCAATTTTCAAAAACACTAAGAAAGCAGCATAGCCAAGTGGATTGGACCTAGCAAGGAGTCTAAACTTAAAGGAGTGCAATCTTGTATTTTTTCTTCCTGGCCAGTACTCTAACCCTCCAACTCTAGAGCTCGTTTCATTAGTAAGATGAAAATAATAGTTTTGTTGCTATTTAGGAATCATACCTCTTTAGAACTTGAGAGAAACCAGAACTGGTTTGGGTCCCTTTAAAACAGACAAGATATTTAATAACATTCGAAGACAATGAAAAAGGTTCGGCACAGGCTTCTGGGTTAAAGGGGAGGGCAGAGCTTCTGACAGGCTCTCTTGATGTTTTGTTCTTCCTTGTAAGTTTTTATCTGTCATGGTTCCCAGTGGAGTATTTCCCCACACTTATTCTGTGGGAGGATACTAACATAGCTCCAGACTTTGCCTTTTATTTCCTAATTCTCCCAGGAGAAACAGCCTTTCCTTAGCTTCTAATACAAAGAAACAAGAAAGAAATGACAGCTGCCTCACTGGTTGACTCACAAGTTTTGTACAGAAGTGGAGACCATTCAGAGGATCTTTATAAAGTATTTGAGGAAACATTTCCAACTCCTAATCAAAAGTCAGAAATTGCTTTGACACTAGGATCTTAAATGTCACTTTATCTTCCTGCCTGGTCCTCACAAATCAATAAGGGTTGAGAGATGCAGAGTGTGTTTGGACGGTGCTAATCAATTAAAATTCAGATCTGGATACTGGGGCTAGATAAATATCAAATGGCAAATTACCTGAGAAAAAAAAAATCAAAAGTTAAACCAAAGAGGGCAGAAAATTAGTCAACTTAGCAAATATGTCTTCCAGAATTGTTGATTCACTTTATATCCAGTCAAAACTTTAAAAAAAAAAAACAAAACAAACATCTATATAGTCAAGGCTGTGAAACAATTTTTAAATCAAATGGCAGAGTCTATTTTTTTCAATCCTACAATTCTACAAACCTCAAGCATTTATTGTGTGCAAAGTATTGTATTAGGCACCCTGAGAAGATATGAAGAATTCAAGACAAAGTAGTTTTAAGAAAATTAACACTAGGGGCGCCTGGGTGGCTCAATAGTTAAGCGTCTGCCTTCGGCTCAGGTCATGATCCCAGGGTTCTGGGATCGAGCCCCGCATCGGGCTCCCTGCTCGGTGGAAAGTCTGCTTCTCCCTCTCCCACTCCCCCTGCTTGTGTTCCCTCTCTCACTGTCTCACTGTTTCTCTGTCAAAAAATAAATTAAATATTTTTAAAAAGAAAGAAAGAAAATTAACACTAGTCCTGAATTCAGTTAAGAAGAGGCCATGTAGCACTCAAATTAACCTTCCATTTTGTTGGAGACATTTTACCAATTTCAGGCTGCTTAATGGAGCCATTCTGAAATCTTTCAAGAAGCTTTTCTTTAATAGAAATAGAAATACTAATTTTCTTAACTTCATAATCTTTCACCAATGAGATAAATGATTTCAGACTCAACTAACAGATCCTGAGTCTACAATGAGCCAAACTCTGTGTGAAGTTGACCTATGGTCTTTCACATTTCCAGTTGAAAAAAGCTGATTACAAAGATCATTTGTCTCCCCATTCCTGAATTTTTTTCTATTGGGTGTTGATACTAAGACATCACTGGATTTTCTTTACTCTGCCTATTGCTCTTTTGACTTTGAGGCATCTGGCTATATTTCAGTTACAACTCCAGCTGTCATATTTTAACAGCCAACTAGAAGAGACTTCAGTCCCCACATCTGAATACACAAGGTTCTCTTCATTTCAAAATCAAATAGTCATCAGAGAAGAGACCCAAAGGCTCTCCTCTTTTGAAAATTAGTATTTGTTTCAGAGGGTTATGAATCTTCGGCTCTTTCTGAACTTGAATTCCCTCATCATTAAAGGAGGGACTTTACCTTTAGCTTGCTTTCCCAGAACACATCAAGCCCTACATAATCTGTGGTTCCCTGTTATCATCCACTGGGTATGGATGAAGGTGCTTTCCACTGTGAATCAGTTTCTCCTCATAATACTTGATTACAAGTGTCAAGCCAATAAAACATTAAGTCTGATGGGAATTTAAAGGTTTATTTTGAAATAATTCTTGTGAGTTGCTAGAAAAAAATTTCCCTTCCCAAAGAGGGAGTGAAAAGTTTCTCCCTTTGGGGTAAACTTACAATAGAAAATTTAATGAGATTGGAATGGATTCCACATTAGTGACCTTTATAAGGCTGAATCCACTATCCTTCTAAATGTAAACTTTAAGTTCACATAATTTCCCATAATAATTCCACTTACTTTTCATTCTTTGTACTCAATGACAACCTTTTAGGAGAGAGACTGACAGCAGTTATTTTATACTAAAGTAAGTGAATACAAACAGGATATGTGTTGACCAGAGAGAAAGATATTAAAAGACTGTAAAGGAAGATGAAAAAGGAATTTTATTTGCTCCAAATTCAACTCTTTCTCAAGCCTCCCTTGTTACAGAGAAAATGACCACTCAAAAAGCTTTTAAAGACTTAAATCCCACCCCTAGCAATCATCTGGTTTGCCCATAGTGCAACTGCCTCATTAGCAATCTGAAATTACACACAGTTGGAGAAAATATAGCAAGAGAATGTAGGCATTGCCATGGGGAAAAGAAAAAGCAACCATGGTGAACTCTGCTTATATAAACAAAAAAATGTCTTAGTGGAATAAACGTAAGCTTTCTCTTGAAGGAATCCCAGTTAGAATGTCATTAGAAATGGCAAAACCATTTCAACATCATAACAGTCATATATTCCAGCTTTATTAGCACTGAGGGGGCCAAATTTGTCAGGGGGAAAGGTAAACAAACGTTCCCAGCACTGTAACAGATAAAGTGATCTCATGAACCTCCCTGTTGAGAGAAAAAAAATAGGTAATATTTTTCTGTAACTATATTAATGTCTATGACTTCCACCTAGGGAGAGAATGATTTTTTCCTTCTCATTACTAATCTTTATATAGAGCTGCTGTTCAGTTGCAGTAGGCATGGTATTTTTATATTTTGATAAGTCCCTCATATTGACTTTGACCCCTATTTCACGTTTGATCAGGAGATCCTAAATTGGAAAGGTAGGATTTTCTGTCTTTTTTTTAAACAAATCTGCACCATAAGCATTTTCTAAAGATGACTGCCTTAAGCCATCTAAGTGGCTCTGTCAATCAGTGGTAGGTGCTTAGTGTAAGGCAGAGAAGCTGTGAATAGATTGAGACTCCCTTATGCATAGGCACCTGCTCATTCAGACCCTCATGTCTCTTCCCCCTCAAGTCCTTGTACCAATCCGGTCTCTTGAACTGACCCAGCTCCACCTGTCAAACAAATGGCAGTCTCTACGTGCGCTGACAGTTTGTTCAACTTAATTCCTCATCAACTGAATTTCTCTGACGTTCTTGCCCTCTCTTTACTCATGTAGGTAGGTCCTTACATTTGATATACTTTAAAAAAGATTTTACTAGAAAAAAAAAATCAACAAAACTTTGTGCTTAGTGAAGAAGCTGTGAACAAACTTTACTATTATGTTAATCACCTTGAGGTAATAGGGAGAATATCACCTGTGTGGCAAGAGAGAACCTTAATGCTATTACTAAAATAATACCCTCTGCAGGGAAACTGTAAAGTCGCCTACAAAGCCTTTCAAAGGCGGCCTGGCTAGCTCAGTCAGTTGAGCATTCAACTCTTGATTTTGGCTCAGGTAATGATCTCAGGGTTGTGAGATCAAGCCCCATGTCATGCTCCGTGCTGGGGTGGAGCCTGCTTAAGATTCTTTCTCTCGGGCGCCTGGGTGGTTCAGTTGGTTAAGCGACTGCCTTCGGCTCAGGTCATGATCCCGGAGTCCCTGGATCGAGTCCCGCGTCGGGCTCCCTGCTCGGCAGGGAGCCTGCTTCTCCCTCTGACCCTCCCCCCTCTCATGTGCTCTCTCTCATTCTCTCTCTCACAAATAAATAAATAAAATCTTTAAAAAATAAAATAAAAAAAAGATTCTTTCTCTCCCTCTGCCCCTTCTCAAAAAAAAAAAAAAAAAAAGCCTTTTAGAGACTCAAATTTAATGGTATGGAAAAATATTCCCTTCAGAGGCAGGTCATAGGTTAGAGCACAAGTTTGATGCACATTTTACTTAAAGGTTTGCACTTAAACTGCTGAACCTCTCTTTCTCTAATATTAAATTAGCATCTATTGAATCTGTCCCTTACCTACATTATAAAAATGTCTTGTGGGGGGTGGGGGATCTAATACCGACCTTCACCTTCCACGTGGAAAAGCTTTGTCCTGGGAGCACATTAAGGTGATTTGGGTAACTACAGTGTGTTTTAGAATAAGCTACTGCAGTGATTCTTAACATTTGGTCCCCAACAAAGCAGTATCAGCAAAAACCTTGAAATTTGTTATTTATGTAAATTCTCTGGTCTTACCAGGTACCCCAGCCCAGACCTATGAATCAAATTCTAGAAGTGGGCCCAGCAATGTGGCCTCTGACAAGCCCTTAAGGATGATTCTGGTGCATATTCAAGTTTGAGAGCTACTGAACAATGCTCTGAGAGGTCCAGGAAAGTTAATGTTGCCAATAAACTCTGCTTCCTCAGAGGAAAAAGCTTAAAAGCTAAAATGGCAAGTTCCATGTGGGCCCAAAACATTCTGATATATGGACAGAAATGTTCACTGTTTGGACTTAAAGTATAATTTGGAGGCAAATTATTCCTTACAAATATTCTTTCCTGGCATAACTGAGTTTCAGGCAGGCTCTCCAGAGAGATTTCTAATCAACTTTTCTAGTTCTTTCAAAAAACCAACAACTAATCTGCTTTGTTTGACTGGCCCAGGGCCCCTAGAATGACCTTGGACACTTTTCTCTTGATTGACGAGCTCTGGACCATTTGCCTTAATGCTACACCACCATGTACCAGTACTAAGTTATACTTAATGACACATTCTACTGGTTTAAAGACTGGGTGTAAACTGATTAACCTAAAATGACTACTGGTTATGAGTGAGTTTTGGTTTAGAAGATAGGTCCAAAGGTCAGTATGGCTTATCAAACCCGGAAACCACAGACAGTGTAGACACCATCCCAAGTCCCTCAGGAGCTCCTTTCTAGGCTCTGTCATTTGAATTGGTGCAGGAATGGAGTGGAGAGTCAGCAAGTGACTTCGTTTATAGTCAGGTCTTGCAAAGAGGTCTTGCAAAATAGAACTTAAGATTGTTATTGTGTGTGTACATGTGTGTATGTTTCCTAAAATCTCACCTGTAAAGATCACACGTATAGGTACTTAAAACATCCATATACATTTTGCCCCCCTTTTTGAGGGATCCAGAAAAGTAATTCAAAGTGTACAAAAGGCAGCCTAAAATGGAGGCTTAACCATGATATTCTGGAGAATTCTATAACTGTCATTCACTCCAGGCCTCCCTTCAAAGGAGTCAGTTTGTCAGATATTTTGGAATGACTGCTTTTTCAGGAATTACTGAAAAAGAATAACTGATACATCATAATGTGTTCTGCCTGCTTCTCTAAAAATATGTGCTCCTCTCCTGTTGCTGGTCAAAATTTGAGCATTTGAGTGTCTGTGTTCTGTCTCCAAGAATATTTCCTCATTGGCTCTTTCCCCATTATCCTATTTCTCTTTCATACCTGATCACCAAATAGCTCCGGCTAAAGCAGTCCCTCCTTCCTCCATCTCCACAATTGTATAGTATCCATTTACATATTCTTTTACTAAAAGTTAAAGTCTAAGAGGATGCTTTCTAGAATAATCACCAATGTCAAGACGTTGGTAATGGGAAGCACACCTTTGGGGGGGGGGGGGGCGGCCACACTGAATCAGATTGCCTGGGATTCAGCCTCTCCAGAGGGCCTTGACCTTCTTCCAGAACTTGAGAGTCTATTGTGTTATTTTTACACTCTTAAACCCAGGGCAAAGTTACAGTGGTGGCTTTGCTTTAGTCCACAACCCATGGTTTGTGTTATTGGCTCGAGTCCTAAAACCTCGAAAAAAAACCTGGAATAAAAATTTCTTTCAGAAAGAGTAGGGGGAAAAGTTATATGCTCTAAAGACTCTTACTCATGAGGCACATCCAAAAGGCCTTGATATTAGAAGGTAACAGAGAATTGTTTTCATCTCCCAACAGTTTTGCCTTTCAGGGCCATTCTCGGTGATTTTCCTAGGTCAGTGGTGCAATTCACTATTCCAATAAGCCATAATAATTGTTGGCACAACTTATTACAATGGGACTTTCCTGGGTTTCATCCATTAATTTTTGTAGACAGTAGTAAGCTCACGCTGAGAAGACATTGGTAGCTTCCCAGACAAGGGCAAGGAAAGGAACTAGACTATTGTCCATACTGTATATATGCTCTGCTCTGTACCACTGCAAGTATTCTAAAGAGGGGCCAATGAGAAAAGAGGATTTAGGCAGGAACCTAATTTAGAACTTTTCTCTTGCCTTTGATGGTTACTGATGGCAAGTCGTTCCCACTGAATAAGCCTGGTAAAGACTTCTATAGTAAACCGAACTCATCCTGAGGCAGAACAGGCAATCCATAAAGAAAAAAGTGGCAGACCATTGGGTAAGAAACCACCTCTCCTGAGGAGGTAATCACAAATCACCTGCACAGGGCAAAAAAAGGAAAAACCACTTGTTCACATCTTGTATGTGCAGTTTAAAGGACCCATTACAAATAACCTTCAAAGACAGAGAGGGGGAGAGTGGGAAGGAGAGATTAAAAATGGAGAGGAGGTGATTTTACCCTGAAAAATGAAATAAGCAATCCTAATACTCCTCTAGTTGATCCTGAAAATGTTCACATGTCTAAAGCTATTTATAAAGTAACTTCACTGCACTTAGAAATTCCTGAGTGGTGGATGGCAGTAATACATTTGGATACTTGAGTTTTTCGGGTTTTATTCTTAATGCCAATGAATGTTATCTCTAAACTTGCCATTCTGAGTACACACGCACAAACACACGCAACTACATGCACACAGATATTAAGGTAAATGCATCATCTATTACTCATTTTGTAGGAAACACTATGTATAAAAAGATTCCAGTGGATTCGTTCAGTGTATGTTAATGATAACATGTAGTGGGGAATAAAGGTACTCTCATATCCTCCTTGCCGACCATATTGTTAAAATTATAATCTTAAGCAACACTGTTAAAAATGCCTGTGTAAGATATCTTCTCTAGTATCAATGAATCGATATATTTTGAATTCAACTTTCAAAAATAAGTGCTAAACTTAAATATTTTTGTATCTGTGGTGTTTTCCTATTAACTTACAGTAGTGAACAAGTGACCACACCCCCTGATACTACCAAGAGGGAAAATGTTCTAAATGAAAAGTAAAAGGGGAGGTTATTTATAGTCTTCTGCCAAAGAGCATTGTTTAATGAAAATGTAGGTTCATTTCTTTCATTATGAATGTAATTATAAGAAACGCTCACCCTATCATCCTCTATCTTTTGAAAATCAATGTTTTGTATTCCTGAGGGCCAAGGAAAATACTCTTTAAACCAGTGTAATACATGGACACCTCGGGAATGAAAGGTACAGTAACTTGGATTACCTGCATAATACTGATTAGCATTCCAACATTCAAGGGCACATATATCAGTCTTCCCTATAATTCTTACACTGCAATGAATCACTTTTGGGAATTTCAGCTAATCCTTTTAAATGAAAGGCACCAACGTGAATGACCTTGTCTAACATTGTCTAACATGGAAGGCATTAACATGTTCCCTTTCAAGCACTGTCGTGACTGGATAGAAATTACCATCTAATCTTCTCACCTAATCATCTCGTGTAAGTTAACTCCAAGGTCTAACAGTGTTGCATAGAAGGCTGACAGACTATGTGTACCAGGGACATTTAATTTGTGCAGTTAGCAAGAACTAGCCATTTACAAAATATATTCAACTATTTGTAAATAAAAATTTTGATTCCTATAGTTTTGTTCAAACTGCTATCTTTTAAAATACTTAGATTTTATTTGAATTTTGAAAATAATCTGTTATAAGTTAGATGTTGCTTTTTGACTCTGTAATTCAATGTACACTCAGCCATATTCCTGTGGGGAAATATCAGTTCTATTGACTTTCTTGGCATGAGCCAGAGATTCATAGTTTCTTTAAGGACTCTAAGTATGAGACAAAACCAAAATTAAATACTAGTGAAGAAATTAGAAACCTATTGTATAAAATGTATTTTTAAAATCTTAAGATATATGTGATTTACACTGCCTGTTAATCTAGTCTCTTTGTGAAATAACCACAGCATAATATTTGTTAAGACTCTTAAACACCAAATATTTGTGATGTTTGTATAGCACCGTTGTTCTAATATGTGATTTCAAATGGTAAGCATCTTTGTTGTAATCATGTGAGCCCACAAAATTCCTGCTGTTATGTACAACCAGCTCTCAGAATTGAGATTTCCTGCAGCTGCTGTATCACCAATAAATGAGAATTGTGGAAAAAAAAATTTTTAAAGAATTGAGTTTATGCTCACTGTGCATTTTCCTAATGAATGAATTCAGAGAGTTTTATTTTTACCAGAAATGCTCTCTCTCAGTCAGTAAATACAACTGCTGATTTCAACCATACTATCATTTCAACGGTTTCTATATTCTTGATCTAACTACCCAAAACTGGAAGCTTATTGCAAGGTGTGTCCTAACAAATGTACAATAAATGACTTTTCCTGCATGCTGCCTGAGATATGTTGTAATTTGAAATGTCTTATAAAAAAAAAAAACCTACATATTTCTTAACCCAAAATCGAACCGGCAATATTTCTCATGTGTATAATTGATGAAATCAGAAGCACTGTCTGTCATACATGTTCTATGTGACATTTAATCTTGTTAAACTGTAATCTGCGAGGTAGTTGCTGCCTGAACTAGTCAATTCTGTACAAATCATTGTCTTAACTGTTTTCCTAATCTTAACCATATTTCCTAACACTTAAATATAAATGTTTGTAAATTAGCCATTCATTTTTTTAATCAACTTTTATTTATCTTCAGTGTGATTCCATTAACTAACCTGAAACAAAGAAGAATCAAAGCCTTCCTTGTCATAGTCCAGTCCAAGGCTCAGGGACAGTTCAGCTAGGCAAAAATCCATTCATTCATCCAGCAAATATTTGTCGAGCATCTACTGTGAATTAGGCTCTATACCAAATATTAGGAGAATTCTCAAGAACCAGAGAAATCACAGACCTCTATCTCCCAGTGAAAAATTCCTGACCTCCGCCTAGACCATTCTTCCATAATCTCCATGGAATTAAGAAATTATTTTGTTTCTCCTACATTATAACAAAGATAGAAATTACCCAAGGAAAGATCTTGTATTAAAACACAGTCCATCTGGCTCAAGAAAATGCAACTATCACAGAAGTAATGTCTTAAAGTCATATTTAAAAATAAATTAAAATAAAACTCAATTTAAGGGATTTAACCCTGCCTCTGGAAGAAATGCTTAAAAGGTCTCCCCTTGAAACCTGTATATTGTGTTGGTTTTAAAACATTAAGGTTCTTTGTTAACGTTTCCTAAAATGGTGTCCCTGCAGGGGATTAAGAAATTCTGTGAAAGAGGAGGAAAATGGCTGATGAAGGGATATTTATCTACATAATACCACAGAAGGGAACACGCCTAGGATGTTTGCTCAATGACATATTTCCTTACATGTACCATGTCTGTTTCCCACTTTTTAAAAGTGCTTGTGTGTGTCACCCACTCACTTGCAGCCAGATTCACATTTGAAATGTGACACATTTTCATTTTTCTTATTCAAGGAGATGCTGCCTCTGTCTTTCAGGGTGAATTGTTGCTATGACAGAGATAAGGGCGCTTCAGATCCATCCAAGTCAGAAGGCAGGAGATCAAGCATGGTCAAAGAATGAAGCCCAAAGTTCCAAGGCAATGGAATAACTTGGAAGAAATATAAAACTTCGTGATTCCTTCCACTGTGGTGCTTAGGGTAATAAGGTTGACAGGTGCTGTATGCCTTGACCCTGTATCACAAATTAATTTTGGCAGCATCTGAAGTTCCTCTGAACCTGTTGAAACCAATTGTAACTTGCCATTCTCACAGATATTCATTCAGTCATTCATTTGCAGTAAATGTGTGCTACTCACTGGAGGTAAGAGTAGATCTATCCATACAGCCACGCATGTACAAGATAAAGCAGCGCTCACAGATGCTGGTTTGCAGAATCAGAAAACTCTGGATTCAAATTCCAGCTTTGTAGTCTAGCCTTGTGAAAATCCCATCACCATTCAGAACCTCAATTTCCTGGTGTAGAAAATCAGACTAATAGCACCTGCTCTTCAGGACTATCCTAAGGGTTCAATGAAATAATTAACATTTACTAAATGCCTGGCACAGTACCTGATATGCATAAGCCACTCAATAAATATTAGTTGATATTTATGCCCTATACAATATTTATGTCCCTTATACCAGTGATAAAATTTCTCTCCTTGACCAAACTTAAGTCGCACTCCTGTGAGACCTCTTTTTTTTTTTAAGATTTTTTTTATTTATTTATTTGAGACAGAGAGAATGAGATAGAGAGAGCACATGAGCAGGGGGAGGGTCAGAGGCAGAAGCAGGCTCCCTGCCGAGCAGGGAGCCCGATGTGGGACTCGATCCAGGGACTCCAGGATCATGACCTGAGCCGAAGGCAGTCGCTTAACCAACTGAGCCACCCAGGCGCCCGTGAGACCTCTTCTTGAGAAGGCCCTGACCTTGGGATCTGTCCCTGGCCCACTTAGTCCAGTCTTAGTTTTCAATTAGCAATAATCGCGCCTCGGATAAACCTCATTGGCTACGATACTGTCACTGCGCTAAGCTTAGTCCAATCTTAGCAAAAATCCTGCTGGGTCATTTTAGTGAAAATCCTCCCACCTTGATAGCTGATCAAATTCATCATCCCTCACCCTTGATATCTTAACACCCTGGCCTGCCTTCAGCGAGAATCCTGTTGAGTCAGTCTAGCGAAAATCTACCTAGCTTGGGTGTATCCTCTTAGTAATGTTCCTTCCACTGACCCCCTCCTTGCTTCTTGGCTATACATCCCCACTGTCCTCATTCTATTCAGAGCTGAGCTCAGTCTCTCTCCCCCACTCCCCATTGCAGCAGTCCCCTTCTTGAATAAAGCTTTCCTGTCTTTAACAAGTGTCTGATAATTTTTTCTTTAACACTAGCAACATCTTCCATGCTGAGAGACGAAAAGACCAAATGAGATTAATTCTAACTCTAACTACTAACTAATTCTAACTACAAGTAGCTTTAGCCAACATTTATTGAGTGCTTGCTATCAACCAAGCAATGTATTATA